TGGCAATAGTTCCTTTCAGTTGTTTTCTTATGTACAAAGCTTCAGGCGGAACATTGAGGAAAACATCAATTTTTTTCTTCTTGGTATTTCAGTTGTCCTCCAGAGCGTGCTTTCTCTAGTATTCCTGCACGTACTTTGGTGTCTTCAAAGACCATTAAAATGTCTCTGGAGAATTTTCTGTTAGAGTTAGCAGAGCTTCTCATTCTATATTCTTTGATTATGGTTATCTCTTGAGTTTCTGTCTTATTCATTACTTCTGCCAACCAGGTTTCCATGAATTTTAGAGTCACTATTTTGCTCCACTTCCTCTTTAAACCCCCTAAATTTTTAATTACCTTTGTTGGCTGAGCTTTCAAGTTGAATAACTTTCCCTCGAAGCAGTTGGATGTCTCTCTGTGTCCTCCTGTTCTCTTCCTGTAAGGCGACCATCAATTCGGATTCTGGTTTTTGTGAAGCCTGTGTCATTGTCGTTTTGATTTCCTCTAAAGGTTTCATATAAGCAGCCAGGTTGTCAGCCAGAGTTTTGTTCATAAATTGTATTGTCCTTTGCAAGGTTGTTTGCAGTAAGGTAGCTGTTACAGGGTCGTCAGGCTTGGTTCCCTCTGAGAGGGTAATGGGCGTTGCCATGTTGTGAAAGTATCTGCCCGCCTCCTCCATGCTCTATGCTCCATTGCTGAGTGCCAGGGAAGTTCCTCCAGTGCCTCTATTTACTTGTAAATTGCTCTTTCCCCCCTTTTGGGGGGATGATGAGGGAAGGCAATTGAGCGTCCCTGGAGAGGGGGTGGTAGAAGTTGAAGCAGTCGATGCGGTTCTGCTGGGACTCTCGGTGGTGGTTGGTCTTTCCACATCCTGGATGTTAGATCCAGCTTCAGGCACTGCAGCTGGTGCCACCTTCTTTCGGGTGATCCCATGCTTGCGCTTAAGGTGTGAGAGCAGTGCTGCAGTGCCCACAACTCCACAGCCTCCAATTCTCCCAGTTTTCACATCTGTTCCACAAATGTTGCAAGTAGCAATGTACTTCGACTGCTTTGTGAAATACTGCCAGGCAATGGATGTCCGTTGACATTTGGTGGGAGGCCTCACTTCTGTGGGGGATGATGAGGGAAGGCAATTGAGCGCCCCTGGAGAGGGGGTGGTAGAAGTTGAAGCAGTCGATGCGGTTCTGCTGGGACTCTCGGTGGTGGTTGGTCTTTCCACATCCTGGATGTTAGATCCAGCTTCAGGCACTGCAGCTGGTGCCACCTTCTTTCGGGTGATCCCATGCTTGCGCTTAAGGTGTGAGAGCAGTGCTGCAGTGCCCACAACTCCACAGCCTCCAATTCTCCCAGTTTTCACATCTGTTCCACAAATGTTGCAAGTAGCAATGTACTTCGACTGCTTTGTGAAATACTGCCAGGCAATGGATGTCCGTTGACATTTGGTGGGAGGCCTCACTTCTGTGGGGGATGATGAGGGAAGGCAACTGAGCGTCCCTGGAGAGGGGGTGGTAGAAGTTGAAGCAGTCGATGCGGTTCTGCTGGGACTCTCGGTGGTGGATGGTCTTTCCACATCCTGGATGTTAGATCCAGCTTCAGGCACTGCAGCTGGTGCCACCTTCTCTCGGGTGATCCCATGCTTGCGCTTAATGTGTGAGAGCAGTGCTGCAGTGCCCACAACCCCACAGCCTCCAATTCTCCCAGTTTTCACATCTGTTCCACAAATGTTGCAAGTAGCAATGTACTTCGACTGCTTTGTGAAATACTGCCAGGCAATGGATGTCTGTCGACGACGTTTGGTGGGAGGCCCCCCATCTGCAGGGGCTAACAAGGGAAGACAACTGCGAGTCCCAGCAGAGGTAGCGGTACTAGTCAAAGCAGTGCTGCTGGATCTCTTGTTGGTGGAACGTCTTCTGGACAACAGTGCACCTCTCCCTTGTGCTTTCTTTTGCATTGCAGCTAGAACTGGGGCCTGTGGGGTCTCCGGAAGGCTGCTCGTCAAAGGCCGTGGCTCTGGCGTATATGGTTGAGCTGATCCTCCAGAGAAGTTGTTCGCCTGCTGATCAGATTCCTCAGGCTCTGTAGGAGCTGCTTCGCTCTCAGGAATCATCTCTTGGGACCCTATAGCAGCAATCACCGGTGGAGCTGCCTCTTCTGTCCTTGTCAAAGGCTGTGGATTTGCCTTGTACTCTGGGGCAATGGAAGGCAGTGCTCTGGAGGAGGTGTCCTCCTGCTGATCAGATTCCTCAGCCCTTGCAAGAGCTGTCTCACTCTCAGAGATTCTCTCCAGGGACTGTACAGCAGTAATCGCTGGTAGAGCTGTCTCTTCTGTGCTTATCAAAGTCTGTGGCTCTGTCTCACACTCTGGAGTAATCAGAGGTGATGTTCTGGAGGAGGTGTCCTCCTGGTTATCAGATTCCTCAGCCTCTAGATGAGCTGTCTCACTTGCAAAGTTCATCTCCTGGGACCATGCATCAGTACGCATTTGGTGGGCCTTCTCCACAATTTCACTGTACCTCAGGGTGCTGGATGTATTTCTGAACTGTTCTGATGAAGATGGAGGAGGTCCGCTTGATGTGTCCCCACTGTACAGAGAAGGAGAAGTTGGTGAAGGAGCAGTCTGAGCAGCATCCAAGATCATTTGTTGAGAGCTGAAGGAAGATGACGATGATGCAGGCACTGCCCGGGGGTCAGATGCTGATACCAACACGACTGAGTTCTGCAATGAAAAAAGATTCAGAGGACCAATTAAAGATACACTGCAAGAAATCTGTACCCAGAAACCAAAACTGTCTAGAGACTCAAGCAGATTTCTATATTTTAATTTTTATAAATACCAACAGAAGATTTTGTGAGACAAAATGTGTGTAAGAACTCACATCTAGATGATAGCGGAAAGAAAGGGCTCTCCCTCATGGGGTGTTCAAGGCAAGAAATGAACAGAGGTGGTTTGCTATTGCCTGCCTCTGCATAGCAACCCTTGACTTCCTTTATGGTCTCCCATCCAAGTACTAACCAGGACTGAACCTGCTTAGCTTTCAAGGTCTGATGTAATCTGGCTAGCGTGGGCAATCCCGTTCAGAGGTCTCATCTAAATTGATGATTATAAAACAAAAAGGCTGCATAGAATACAGAGGAGGGGGGGCAGAAAATGGTGGCAACAAGTCAAAAGATGACACAAGCTCTTGTCCAAATAGATTCATAGATTCAGACCAAGATCTTTGTTTCCTGCCCATTTATGGCAATCCATATTTCCATTTGTAGCATAGTACTTCCTTTCTATTTTTATTTTATTTATTGAATATCAGAGTTGGAAGGGACCAGCAGGATCATCTAGTCATGCAGTGCTGAGACCACCTGAATGACTCAGATTAGCTGTGTCTCAGGAAAGAAAGAAAAGACAAATTTGGGCATCCCCTGAAAGGTGAAATATGTTTCTTTAAATGGTTGGTAAATGTCAGAAGAACAAGGGGTGTGTGAAAAAGGGGGAAAAGTGAGTGATGTGATTGGTTGGTGACTGAGCGTGTGTGGGAGGAGCTAGGAGGTATGTGTGTGTGTGTGGATAGAGAGAAGGCAGAGGGTTTAGTTTGAAGTCAGTAGTCGGCAGCTGTCAGTTGTGGTCAATCTACAGAGTCTGAGAGTCTAACTAGAATCATAGAAGTGCTGTGAAAGGCATTAAGATTCTAAAGGAGGAAGAAAATGTACTTAAGGGGCAAAATCTGATATCATCAGAGTATTATAAGAGTGTGAGGGGGGGAAAGCTGACAGAGACCTGAGTAAAAAGTGAAAGATTTTAGTAAAGGTAAAGGTTCCCTTGCTCGAAAGCCAGTCGAATCTGACTCTAGGGTTGCGGTGCTCATCTCCGTTTCAAAGCCGAAGAGCCAGCGCTGTCCGAAGACGTTTCCGTGGTCATGTGGCCAGCATGACTAAACACCAAGGCGCACGGAACGCTGTTACCTTCCCACTGAAGTGGTACCTATTTATCTACTTGCAATTTCTTGCTTTCGAACTGCTAGGTTGGCAGGAGCTGGAACTAGAGACGGGAGCTGACTCCATCATGCGGTACCCAGGTCTTGAACTGCTGAACTACTGACCTTCCACAGCCTGCAGTTCAGCGTCTTAACCACTTGAGCCACTTGACCACTTGAGATTTTACTAAGCAACAAAATGTCTTGTAACCAAAAGTTCTACATTAAGGTAGGAAAAATCAAATACATAATTACAGGATGGGGAAGACTTGTCTTGGCAGTAGTATGTGCAAAAAGGATCTAGAGGTCTTAGTAGACCACTGAACATGAGTGAGCAGTGTGATGCAGTAGCTAAAGGGGCAAATGCGTTTTTGGGCTGCATCAACAGAAGTATAGTGTCAAGATCATGCGAAGTGATGGTATCACTTTACTCTACTCTGGTTAGAACTCACCTAGAGAACTGTGTTCAGTTTGGGGCACCACAATTTAAGAAGGATATAGACAAGCTGGAACATGTCCAGAGGAGGGCAACGAAGATGGTGAGGGGTCTGGAGATCAAGTCCTATGAGGAAAGGCTGAAGGAACTGGGTATGTTTAGCCTGGAGAGGAGATGACCGAGAGGTGATATGATAACCATCTTCAAGTACTTGAAGGGCTGTCATATAGATAGGGTTGCCAAATGGGCCCGGGGGGCGGGGAATCCCCAGCTTTGGAGGGCCGATTTCCGACGCGACGGAATTCGGCCCCAGGGGGAACCCCACCCCCTGAAGCTGCGTCACCAGAGGTGATGCACGACGTAGGGCACGTTGGGGGCATGGCCCAGATCGTTGGGGGGGGGGAACCATATGGTTCCCCCCGATGATCTTGGCCACGCCCCCAACGTGCCCTACGTCGTGCGTCACTTCCAGCGACGTTCCAGAGTAAATGGAGTAAGGAACACCAACACTGGCTCATTCTGGCTTTGTGTTTGACTTACAGTTTGCTGGCTTGCACATATTCTGTGTTCCAAAGAGGAGAATCGGGATTCAACTACTTTAAGCTGCTCATTCGTTTGGTTTATTGAGGTCCTTAACTGGGCCACCTCAGAAAGCAGAGACTCTTGCCCAGCTTCTAAGCGCAGTAGAATCATTTCAATGTTTGTTCTTGGATTTCCTAGTGGTTGTTCCCCATGTATAGATTGGTCAGGTACTTCTAGTGGAGACTGTCTAGGGTCCTCCAGGCTAGCAGATGATTGTGTAACCTCCATGGTTGGAGGAACTTCACAGACTCCTTCCTGGACTCTCTTCTTGAACCATGACAACATGTCTGAATTGCAGTCAAAATGAGTCCTGATTTCTTTACGTTTGTAATCTCAATTGTTGATTGCTGGGCTGGATGGCGCAGGCAAGGAGCTGCAAGAAGGCATAGGCTTGTGAGTACTCGCTGTCAAGTCAACAACATCACAGCCAAGAGTCATCCCCCACTTTCAACACACACAATGACAAAGCAAAATTAAAACCCCAAGCCAGATATCCCCCCCCCTTTTTGTATCCAAAGCAAGAGACACTGCAAATCCTTTAATATGGAGCTGTGGCTTCCTTTCCCCCAGGGCAACAAACAGAGGGAAAGCTTGAGAAGGAAGGAAGGCCCAGGCTAGTGATTGGATGGGAGACCTCCAAGGAATTCCAAGGTTGCTATGTGTAACCAGGTAATGCCAAAAACCACCTCTCAGCATGTCTTGCCTTGAAAACCCTGTGAGGTTCCTGTAAGTCGACTGTCACTTGATAATGCTTTACACGCACAAGTCCTCACTTGATGAGAGGGAGATGTTTTTGACTGACAGGGTGAAAAATATTTCTGAGGCATGACAATAAATGTTGTGAAAGTAGGAAAAAAGTATAGGAAAAGCTTGTTTTCTTTGAAAAACAGTGGACATTTCCATGGAAAAACTGTCTGGGTGGACATTCACATCTTCTTATTGAGATAGTAAATTCCATTTTAATCAAGGGGTTTAACTCCCTGGCTCATAGCCTTTACAGTGCAATGCTTTTCTCTTTGGCAATGGACCTGGGGACCTAAAGGAGCCAGTTGTGTGTGTGTGTGGGGGGGATCCCTTACATGCCCCTCCTTTCAAGCCAGCCAGCCTCCTTTCATCTTGGGCACTGCCGCTTGGGGTGGAAAGTAGCTGGCTGCGGAGGGGGGCGGGGGGATGTCTTCCCACCAGGCTTCCCACCCACTTTAAAATTTGTCTGGTGGTTGCAGTGATGTACTAAAACAAATGCTCTGAATGCCCACTGGGAACCATGGGAGCTGCCAGAAGGCTGATTGAATGTTATGGGAGCCCCAGATGCCAACTGACTTGAATGGACTCCATTTGAAATCCTGTAAAGGTGCTGCCATGCCCCAGGGGGGTCTCCACCTTCTGCCGCCACCATTCTGGACTTCGGTCCCTTGAGAAGGCCCAGGGTACCTTCCCAAGCCCCTTCAAATTGCCCCTTTGTAGCCGAGAAACATGAGTGTGATGACCAAGGCAGAGAAACAGTGAAACAGGAAGGGTTTATTTTTACAGTACTGGGCATGGGAAAAACAAGACAAGACAAGGTGCTTTAACGCACATAAGTGTTTAAAAGAACAGAATCTAACGCAGCTACCTATTATCATTCCTAACTGGTTACTACTTCCAGGCGCACAGCCTGCCTTACACTCATGCTGAGCCAAGTGGGGGATTTTTTTCCCTCTCACCAGACCAGCCTGTCCCTGCAGGAGACCAGGCCGCAGAGAGAGATGAAAGACCCCCATTTCCGACTTCCGGAACAGCGTGACGACGGGTGGGCGGGAGCTCGATGGGCTCTGAGCCACCCGATCTGCTATTGCTTCTTTTCGGACCTCCCAGGTGCTGGGAGAGCCCGACCGGCACTCTCCAACAGAGTGCAGGAGCAGGGGGCTTTTTTTCTGGCCCCTCCCGTGACCTGGCAATTGCGGGGGGGTGACCGGTTTCGCCCCGAAGCAGGAGCGACAGCAGGAGAGAACATGGCCGCCATGTTCGACCTAGACGCAGCCTCCGGTTTTTAAACCTTTTGTTGTTGTTGTTGTTGTTGTTGTTACTTGGTGGATTCGATGCCTCACATTGAAAAACTGGTTTTGCGCATATTTTGGTCGAGTAGAAAGGACTATATACCCTATGTGGATTTTCTTTTTCCCCTGTGCGTGAAGAAAATGGCCGCGGAATATGTTCGGGAATCAAATGTTATGAGACTGGTGAAGGGTAAGACAAAATGTTTAGTATTACCCGTTAAAAGTTACTGTGGAAATATATCAGAAGTTGATTAAACTGGGAAGAAATGGAGGTGCTAGACAAGAAAGAAGAGATAGATGGAAATATAAAACTTTGTGAAGTTACGTGGGAACAATGGGAAAAGTTTCAAAAGTATTTACTAGAAAAATGAAACAGACATTTAAAGTAACATGTGAAAACCTGTTGAGAAATTCCTGCAATGAATTGTTGACGCTTAAGGAAGACAAGGAAAAAATACAGGAAAACCAAAGGAAAGATGAGGTGCAGGAAGCAGAGCAGGAGAGAGAAATATATGTGGTACAGGATGAATTTACAGAAGAAATGTTACAGAAGGCAGATATTGCCAAAGGATTCGTGGAGGGACAAGGAAAACAAAAAACATCAGTAAGAAAAAAATGTTTGTTGAACTCACTTAAGAGAAAAGGGAAGAGACAAACAAGACAGAAAAAAGTAAAGAAAGGACTAAAGAAATATAGTGTGCTTACACAACTAAATACTAGGACTTATGGAGAAGACAATAAGGAAACAAAGATGCAGGAGTTCAAAGACCGACACCATGTAGAAGAGAACGGGAAAAATCAGGAAAAAAAAGAAGTGAAATATAGAGCATGTGGCAAGGACTGTGACTGTAAAAATTTTAATTTTCCCTTCTGCTCCTTTTTTTTTCGTGTGGACTTTGGGAACCCTATAAGACGGCTGAATAAAATAGTGGGATATGATAGGAAAGGTGATTAAAAATGGGGATAAGACTTAAAATTTAATTTTTTGTGGATAAATTTACCATAAATTAGACCAATGGTAATGGTACTGGCTACTTGTAATACTGGGTGTAAATTACACGGTTGAGGGTGATATTGTAACAAGGAGGGGAGTGTAAAAAGTTCTTAGGAGTGTGTTTTAGTAAGAATAATATTTGGTATGAATCAATTTGGTTTTGGTAATCTTAGTATAAAATAACTGGATGATATTGGTAGTAATATTCCTAAGACTATGACTAAATACTTTGAGAGTAATGTTATAATATATTTTTGTGATTATACCTTATGTGATAGTAAATTTAAGCCAGAATGAAATCTATTGTGGGTAAGAGTGGTATTACTAACAACAGAATGACTAAATTGTTTATTAATTATTAGTTTATCATATAAATTATTTTTGGAATGGTAGTTGCCTGAGATAACTAGTAATGAGCCCCATGATTAGAGTAAATAGCAGGGAGGTGATCAGTTTTAGTTAAGGGTGTGTTTCAATAAGGAAAATGAATTTATTAAAAGTTAATGACTTGGGTAAGAATAATATTTGGTATGAGTAAATTTGGTTTTGATAATCTTAGTATAAAATAACCGGATGATAATGGTAGTAATAAAAATAAGGACCATGTAACTATCTTGAGACTAATATGTTTATTTTATTGTTATAAAATTTATTTTTGTGATTGTACTCAATATGATTGTAAATTTATGTTAGAATGAAATTTATTGTGGGTAAGAGTGGTATAACTACCAACAGAATGATCAAAATTTTTACTATTTGTTAGTTTATTGTCAAAAATAAGTTTGGAACGATATTAGCCCTAGGAAATCCATAAAGAGTCCCATGATTAGTTTCCGGTTGCGGCGGCGCGAATGGCGACCGGCTCTTGGGACGTCTTCCCAGAGCCGGATTGCCCAAACACAGCCCGGGGGGGGGGGGGC